AGTTGAGGATGAATGGATGAAGTATCAAGTCCAAAGTGATACCATAAAAAATCTATATTGTCTACTTATTCTGCAATTCCACATCAATAGAACCATAATATGAAGTAAAGCCAATCAAACACACACCATCATAAATCTCTAATCGCACTGATATGTCTGATTGGGATCTTTATAGGAACTTTATCTTCTTGTACTTCGTCCTCATCATCCTTTAAGATGAAGCTATTAGGTGGGGTTCAATGCTCAAATCAAAAAATTAAATGTTGTGTAACACAGTAGTCTCCCTGAAGATCTGGCTTGTAGACATTGCCACCATCAATATTCCCAATTCTCAATCAGTATGGTTGAAACAGTTCTAAAATAAGTATGATTGAAACATATCTGCGGGAGTACGTCCTGTGGAGCTTAAATACATGTTATATGGAATAAGCAATTTCAAATGCAGAAATGAGTAACATTCCATGTCTTTAGGTTCTTTTGGATGATATGAAATCAGTGAGCCAGTTACTTTTGCCAGGCAGCCATGTACCTGTAGGACAATTGTCATAGTCTACATAGAGGCACCACATCATATTCTCAATGGAGAAATGTAGTCTTCTTTTAATGCATAATGATTAGAAGTGGCGTCAAGGTGTTAAAAAACTCCAAAGTTGATTGGAAGTATAATCTTAAGTGAAACTGAGTATACCTATCTGTCTTGTTTTTGGATTATTAGCTACCTCTTTTGTTCTACTTTAAGTTATAAGCATTTTCAAATGTAGAAATGAGAGTACTATTCCTAACATTTAGGTTCTTTTGCATGATGGCATGAAAAAGAGAGCCAATTACTTTCATAAGGGAGCAATTTAGCTGTGTGACAATTGTCATAGTCTACATACAAGGCCATGGATCAATGTAGCTGCAGGACAATTGTCATAGTCTACAAACAGGCACCATAGTCTCTCAATGTAGCATCAAGGTGTAAAAAACTCTAAAGTAGATAGGAAGAATCTTCTTAAGTTGAATTGAGTACACCAATCTTGAGAGTTTTTGGAATATTAGCTACTCCTTCCTTCTAAGAAGCAATTTCAAATGCAAAAATGAGTATCATTCCATGTCATTAGGTTCTTGAAGGTGATGTCATGAAAAAGATGAGCCAATTACTTTCATTAGGGATATTTTCATGCTATTGGCACCAAAGTAGCAGTCTATTGGATTTTGCATTGGCATGAGAGTTAATGTACTGAGCCTGGCCACTGTTTATCGGGTATTTTTGGGCTCAACATCTCAACACGGGGTTGAGCCAAGTCATGCATACATTTTGCCTCTGATCCTGCTCTTGAGTGGATTAAACTCGTGTTTGGCTTGGTTAGTTCATGAGTCTAGCCCATTCCTTGCACTTTTCTTGGAACTTAGTCCAATTGTTTCCTATTATTGTTTTTTTCTCGTGTATCTTGACTAAGATTGCTTTGTGAGGGTTTGCATATATGATAATACATAAAAAGTTTGAAGCTTTTTTTGGGTTTGAGATGTTAAAATTCATCTAGTGGAAGCTACATTTGCTTTGGCTCAAATGGCCCCTGGTCCAGCAATAAATATTGATCTACAATGAATCTTTCACAATCACTATCAGAATTTGCATATTCCTTTCACTTGCTTAGATCTCTGTTCAATTACTTCCCTTTATTCTTCTTCGTTTGCTTGTATGAGTATCTTGAGACTAAAATTTAACCTTAAGGGTCAACATTGGGTAGTAAATGCAACAATGCATTAAGGGGCTAACTTCAATAACCTCCATGAGTATTTACTACGGGTAATGCTACTTACATCTTGACCCATCAGACCCCAACAGAGTTAGGATTATAGAGAGTTTAGCTGTGGTGCATGAAAAAGCAAGCCTTTTCAGGGTTTGAAGACCTTAAATCACAGGTTTTTAGGCAGAAGTCTGAAGCAATCATTCTTTCTCTATTTTGTAAGAAGCATTTTCAGGATTCCTTATTAAGTTTGGAAAAAGGTAGAATTTTACAGTTCTAGTTTCTATGGTTTTGTACAAATTTAAATTTTTTACTTCCTAGAAGACTTGAATTGGGTAGTTACTACACATGCCTTAAATTTTTGCTCGAGCTTTACCATCACAGCTTTGGTCTATTATTACCTCCAAACATTGAATAATATTCCATCAAGCCTGTTCTCATTCACCGCGCTATCAAAATCTATGCAGGTGCAAGTAGATTTTGATGACAAAACCACATGGGAGTATCTTTTCAAAGTATACTGGCTTGATCTAAAAGGAAAGCTGTCATTAACACTAAATGATCTTCTGCAAGCCAAACGTCCCAAAAAAGAAACCCCTCTTGCCGTCTCCTCAGCCATTAGGGGTCAGGCAAAGGTTAGACGTTGTCGGTCTGAATCTCCTAATGCAACTCCTCTCATCGATAAGAAGTTGACGCCTGACACTAAGAGTAGTGAAGAGACAGAACAGCTGTGGTTTTACCATGACCCCACAGGCAAAGTGCAAGGACCCTTCTCAATGCTTCAACTGGGCGCATGGAACAAAGCCGGGTTCTTCCCCCCTGATTTAAAGGTGTGGAAAGTTAATGAAGATGATCGGTCACTACTTTTAACTGATGCATTACTCCGCAAGCCTCCTGAAATCCCTGGGAGCGTTGTAATCCAATCTTCAGACCTTAGAGAAGCGTCAGACGTAAAGTCGATTGAAAATAAACCAAACAAGGAAAATTTCTCTTTGGATGGCGGCGATGAGTGTGTAACAATGGATGATTCAGGCACCCATTCTTTCCTGGAGTTATTAAAGGGTAAAATTTCTTCTTCTGAAATGTCCCAACACCATCCAATTCAACTATCCGGTCATCCAGAGCTTGAAAGTAGATTTGGAGGCAATGAATGCCATGAGATGCAATCTACGAATTCCCAGCCCTTTCCGATTCAATCTTCAGGACAAAACTGGGAATCTTTACCTGTACCAACCTCAAACCTCGTGCTCCCCGCCACCAATTTTTCTTCGGTCCCCACTGAGCCGGACGACCTTCCAGAGCAGAGTGTCAGGATAAGCTTCACAGCGCTCCTGAACGAATCATCCCCAACGGCGGGTGGTGGTGATAATAAGAGCTGGGAAGTCCAAGCAGCCGAAGAATTGCTATCCTTGTCATCATGTTTCCTCACCCAACGGCCCAATCTCCAGGATCATCTTAGCCCTTCACAGAGCGGCGAAGATCATCAATACGGACAGACCATGGCCGAAACAAAGGACCATTCGTCCTCAAACCTACCCGTTCAAGACTCAGTAAGGAGTTGGAGCAGTGCTTCTAGTATGGCCATTAATGAGTGGGATTCCACCGTGGTCGTCTCTAACAACCTCCCCGCGGGCACACCCACTTCAAACATTGAAAACCTCACCAACTCGTCTCCGTCTCCCCTGACCTTAAATGTGTCCGGCTGGCAGCCCATCGAGTTCACTACCCTAGATGAAGAGTCCGTGTCCGATCTGTTAGCCGAAGTCGATGCACTTGAGTCCCAAAGCGGTCTGGGATCGCCGGCTTCCGCGCTACGTTGCGGCAAGGACGTGGTGATACCCAAGTTCAAGAACGAGTACTTCAACTTCTTCGAGGAGCTGAACCCGATGCCCGATCCGGTGAAACCCGGCACCTTTAACCACATCCATTATGACAGATGAACCCCTCCCTCCCCGGTTCAAAACCAAACACATTTTCCAGCTCTTCTTCCAAACGGACCGTGTAGAGGTTGTTTCGGACATGCCCGGAAAACTAACGTTCGGGGTTTCGGAATCCTCCTGTGCGCGGTTTTATTTGTATTTTGTATTTTGTAATTTTTTTTGAAGAGTAATCTGTTGTACGTGTAACCAGTGTTGTAATTTTAGCATGAAAAAAAAGAAGCCATTTAATTGAAATGGCATAAAGGAAGAAAAATTGAATACTTGGAAAATAATTTTGCTGTTGAAATTCGTTGATGTGCCTATATGTTCTCATTTAGCCAGAGAATATTGTATTTTGTAACATGAAAGATTTGACATATTAATGGTGTGTGTGTATCAGGGCATTCGTATGTTCGTTCAATTGCATTGCATGGTATTCTTTATACGTAGTAAAAACGTACCCAGAGTAATATTTTTAATGAAGGTAAAAAGAAAATGGAGTATAATGGAGCGTTTCATGCAGGGTTGAGGATTCAAGAGTCTAGGACGAAATGGGGAAAAAGAACTCTTGGTTCTAAAGAATTAAATTATATTACTTCCAGTCTTTGAATATTTGTGTAGTTTTAATTTTTTTTTCCAGTAAACTATTTTTAATCTTTGGGTTATATTAAAATAAAATATATATTGTATACGGAGTATTAATTAAATAAAATAATATTTTGAAAATATTTGGTGTAATAATTCCAATAAAATTGTTTTTGTATCAATATCTAATATAATTTTTATTTAATTTCATGTTAAAATTTACCATTTTTGACCTAAAAAATCAAACATGGACAAATACTTGTAGACGGATGGAGTATCTTTTAAACAAAATTAATTCATATAGTAAATTTTATCAATGGATCCTAATTATCGGTGCTTTTCTAAATTTAGTCAAGTTACATAAATGGTTTTGAAATTTTGAAAAGTATTTCATAAATATTTTTTAAGCCAAATATGACAAAATATTTTTTCTACAAATAATACATGAAGGATCAATTATAGATTAATTTTCAAAAATTAAAGATGATAGGCATAATATCTTACGGTAAGTCTAAAATGACACAAGTGTAATTAGTTTCATTTGCTTACACATGTTCCTTTGGGATACCTACAATGCTCCGTTTGTAAAAATGACGATTCCTACCTCCAAATCCTTCCACCCCAACCTCTCCCGCCCCATCCATAACCCTGGCAGTATAGTGTCAGGGTAGGGAGGGGGCGGGAGGGGGCGGGAGGGGGCTGGTGAAACCGTCGTTTTCACAAACTAAACACCGTATATACTCCAAACTAAGAGGTATAAGCAAGTAATGTACTCCGTATTAGTGTATAAGTGAGTTCTACATCGTCCACCATTTTGGTCCCATGCACGGCTCAAAGCAAGAAATTCAATCCCACTCTTTCAAACCACAAGGGAGCTAAGAAATCGGCTTCGCTTGGCTATAATTTGCATCGTCTCCCAAACCGGCGCTTTCTGCACACAGAGAAGCCAGCACCGCCGCGCGCAGCGGTTTGTTTTTAGATCATTTCTCCTCTTGAATTGCGCACTGATCTCAAATGTTTCACGATGTCTTCCTCGCCGTCGATTCTGAATCCCAGCCAAAACTACGCCGCCGGAGGTCTCTTCGCCCTCGCACTCCACCGGGCTCAGATCCACCAAACTCGCCGCGTGGGATCTCCGTTGACGCCGGAGCGCATCCCTAAGGAAATCAACGACGGCTGTGGTTCCGTATCTGAAGATCCCCAATTATGGGCTCACCAATCTTCCGGCCTCCTTCGCCCCGTCTTCAGGTCTGGCTATGGCTTATTGAGTTTATTAGTTCACCCGTGTTTTCTCGTAATATGGAGGTTGTAGAGGTGTGCCAGGGGTAGACCAAATTTGTACCCCAATTTGCACAGTGTGTGTAGACAACAATTGTTTGTGCATAGACAACTGTTGTCTGTCTGTGATACACATGGTGTGCAAATTGGGATACAAACTTCGTATGCCCCTAGTTGTTTTTCTCGTAATATTCATCAAATGAAGAATATTTGAATGAATTGTTGGTATTGACCTGTTATAGTGTAATTGCAGTAATGAAGTGAAATGAAACGATAGGGATTGTAGCATTTTACTTGATTGAGGATTATTCATTTGAGTTTTGGTTATCAATTTTATGGAGAAAAGGTTTCTAGAGATTGAGGAATCAGCTTGGTCTGGACTTGAGGATACTGCTGGCTCTTCATCGATCCAGGATCATGTTGAAGCGGTTAGTACTTTCTTCTCTTCAATAATTTTGTCAGCATTCGATTACACTTTAGATGCACCCATGTATTGCAAGGTGAAAGACATTGCACTTGCAAATAGGGATTGCACAATTGGGGTGCAACCTAATTTTTTTTCAACGAGTTGACCCATAGTTTCTATAAATAGGGTCGGGTTTAAACAAAGTTGGGTCAAACCCAACCCAGGTTTTTAAAGTTTAACGGGTGTATAAAATTGTGCCGAACCCGACTTGAAACCCAAGCTTGTTAATGGCCCACGTTTTGTAATTTATACACCCTCCATTGTTGATTTTCATGAGTCTGGCAAAGATTTCAGAGAAATCTTCGTGATGAAAGGAAGAAGAACGCTGAAGGTTGCAGCGTAAAAATAGGAACTGATCCAACGAGAATGAGAGAGAAAAATATCTGGCAGGATTTTTTCGAAATCAACTAAAATACAATACAAGCAAGTATTTATACTCAAGGACTCTAAGCCACATCATCTACTTGTCCAACTCAGCAAATAAGAGAAAACAAATAAAATGAGTTTATCTACTAACACCCCCCCTCA